TCTGATAGCTTGGCCTAAAAGAAAATGGTACAGTCGTAGATGGAGAACTGCTTTCGGAATGCGAACTGTTGAGAAGTAGGAAAGTCATTGCTGCAGACATCGTCTACGGACAGACGTGTCATGGGGCTCATCTACTGAATTCTGCACCCTGGTGACGTTTAAAGTAAAGGGGTGCGAACGGTGTGTGTGTTTGATCTGAAGTGGTTGTTTTGTCTGGAAATTTTTAGTTCTAATAATAATAATACGGGAGTGCTCATTTAGGCCACATAAGGTCTAAGTCTAAATAAGGTCAAACCCCCCACCTAACATTATTTATGCACACACACACGGACTATTTTCATTCAGACTTAGGCACAGAACAGCTATGGCACAGAATAACGCTACTAAAAGTAAAAGCTTATGAAGGATAGGCCTGTAGGAACAGAAAATGCTTAAGATGTCTTTGGAAGCTGTCAAGTGTTCTTTTCATAGTTCCATGGGTAATCTGTTTCACATAAATGGACCAAGATATGAGAAAGATTCTGTTTCTCTACTGGTCCTTACAGAGGGACCATTTTCACCCTTGACGTCAAAGAAGGCCTTACAGCTTAAGGGCACTTTAACATTATTTGCGTTCCTTGTGCGAAACTTACGAAATGAGTTTGTGGTGAGGAAATGTTCAATACAGAATACAAAAAGCCCTCTGCTCTTAATTAATCTTAACCACGATCTCAGCAGGCAAAGGAAACTTGAGAAAAACTATCTGAAAACTTCTGTTGGCCTGTTAGACTACTCTACTATAATTTGCAATATTGCACAATCATTGGGATTTATGCGAACTAGTGTGTCATGCTACAAAAAGGGGGACATATCTGAAAATGGGTTGTTGTTTTTACACCCTATGCAGGGCAAAACTATTCTGTTGATTTATCTAAAAAAAATGAACATCAGACAATTCCTTTTGGCTTCCAAATATTGTGTACAAATTTGAAGCGTAAAACTTCAGTGTGAAAGAAAATATATTAGCAAAAGAAGTTGTATAGGTTTTTTTTTATCACCTTGTACTTTTGTAGCTTAAAAGTTAAGGGACCATTCAACAAAACAGCCTTCGCTCAAACCCTGACTTTCATGAAAGGGTATACCTGTCTCCGTGGTTTTATGCACCGTGCATAATTTAGCAAAATTTGATCATTTTTTGCATAATTTCTGATTATTTTCCTTTATAATTCTTTGTTAAAATTAACAGAATCGCATAATTTCATATTTTTGGGCTCAGTTTGCATAATTTCAGAATTTTTCTTACATAAAACGACGGGGACAGGTATAGCCAACAATTTAATGTCCACAGTATAGTGTATAGCCAGCACTGCATCACCAGCTTCTTTCTTTCGTAAGACTTTTGCAGCACAATATCAATATAAGGTTATACAAGTGTCAGAGACTAGATTCTTTTTTCGTTTTAGTAAAGAGAAGCACATCGACACCGTAAATGGACATTTAGTTAGTGTTGTGAAAAAGTAAGACAGACAGTTGAGACAGACAGAAAAAAACCAGAGAGAAAGTAAAGCAAAAGGACCTACCAGTGGCGTCCTCCAACCACCTGGGTGACCCGTCCGCAGATTAGAGCCATTACAAGAAAGCAACAGACACAAAAAAAGGAGGAGAGAAAAGAACAAAAGATGTTTGACAGGGAAGAAGCAGTGAGCAAACCACACCAGAGCACCCGCTCACCAGCTTCAAATCAATTCCAACCAAAACCTTAAACATCTTAAGTTACATTCACTTTCACTACAGACAATCCAATGAAGAAACAGTTCAAACAGCACACTCATAAGTTACATTCACTTTCACTACAGACAATCCAATGAAGAAACAGTTCAAACAGGCACACTCACACAGTAAGATTAAGAAACTAGACGCGTCTGAAAATTCTATTTTATTCCTTTTCCGACAAAGTTAATTTATAATTAACTGGGAATGTTTTCTCCTTCCCAAGTAAATTTTGAAAAAACAAAGCCAAACAAACCTTTGAACATGTAATTCTGGAGTGCAGAATCTCCATGCATAGAGTACAAAATGTGTATATTATATAAATATGAAGTTTATTTCATAAACAGACAGAAAACAGAAAATCAGAAAGAGCATAAAGTAAAGTTTACTTTCAAAATCAGACTAGACAAAAATGTCTCTTGCCACATTTATAGTAAACAAAACAATTTTCAATTAGATTGACAATTCATCAAAATATGTTTTAAGACTATTATGCTATTTAAAACTACAAAACATTTCTTTCATGAAGACTTTATTGTATTGTTGGACTTTTCTGGACACTGGAGATAAATATAATAATGATCCATTTCGTTAACGATTTCACGTAAATTGTTCTAAGGCCCGAAAGAAAAATTTTTCAGGTGAAAGAAATCTATTGCATTTTTTAAAATTGTACCCATATTATGCATCTTTTTTTTGCTTTTTTTTTTTCAGGATCTAAATCATCTTAAACTTTAAGGGACTGAAGTGA